AGCTTCTCAGGCAAGTCCATTCACTAGGCCAGAGACTTTATGAGACAATGTGGTAGATACATCTCAAGGTGGCCTCCAATAAGTCATGCTTGGGTACAATCACCTCCCTTAAGTTCAGGTAGAAAAAGGATTTGCCTCTGGCTAACAGAATATATATAGCAAAGGTGATGGATGTCATTCTGTTGACCACATTATATCAGTATGGTACACACACACACACACACACACACACCACACACACACAGAGAGAGAGAGAGAGAGAGAGAGAGAGAGAGAGAGAGAGAGAGAGAGAGAAAGGCAAAGTAACTGCCATCATTATATCATATCATATAATGTTATATCCTCTGCCTTATCCAAGTGCAGCAGGACAGACCATGAGAAAGTAAGTAGCCATGCTGTAAGGTGTCTACAAGAGGGTTCCTTGGCCAAGAACTATAGGCAGCTTCCAAGAGCTGAGAACAGCCTGGGACTGACAGGCAGCAAGAAAATTGAAACCTCAGTCCTACAACCACAGGGAGACAATAACGCTAACAGTCTATCTAAGTTGGAGACATATCTTTCCCCATTTGAATCTCTGATAAAACTGCAACCCTAACCAACTCCTGGTAAGAAACAGCTGACAGAGGACCTAGCTGAGCCATGCATGGACATGTGGCTTATGTTAAGCTGTTAAATTCACTACAATGTGTTGCAGAGTAATAGCAAATGAAAACAATCAATAGTCTTTAATAAATGTACTAGTGCTTCAATTAACAAGCATTAGTTTTCATGACTTGCTACTCAATATCTTGAGTGACACATATTCATTCTATCTACATCTTACCTTCCTTCCAAATGCCACTAATCACTATTCAACTAGTGAATAGTTGAAACTAGTCCACACTCATCTTCTTCCTATACAGCTTCTGTAGAAATAGGAAGAAAGCACCATTTCCAGTCACATCAATGCTCCTCAGACACCGCAGCATGCTGTACTCTGCCTGTTGCAGCACAGAACAGGCAAGTTCCCCTCTCTTTGAAGCTCTAAAGCAAATTCATTATAATTAGCAGTAAATTGCCAAAAAATTTTCTAAACTTCAGAAAATTTTAATCTAAATTAAAAATTATTTAGATGTACTTCAATAAAACACACAATTAGGAGAAGGGACAGCAAAAAAAAGAAATTTACTTAATAGGAAGTGCCTGGTCCTGTTGTCTTTCTTAGTTTATAAAAACAAACAAACCTAGAATTATTGTAAACAAATATGTGTACGTGTAAGCTTACATAAGATCACAGCATCTGTGAAACTGCAAAACTTCCCTCTGTATTCTGGATAATACACTGCATTTCTCAATCTGATAGCACAATACAAGAATTCTGTCACCGTGGCTACTACAAATCATGTGGGCAATTATCCTGAAAATTCTGTGGATCTGAAAGAATGGGAACATGGCAGGATGAAGAAAATGATGAACAAGTTGCCACGTGTTCTCCTTTTTTAAAGTATGTTTATCAAGATGCAAATGACAAGATTTTTCTACAAACCTCTTGTTCACAACCATTGGACTATAAGTTCAGACAAAGCTTTAGAGGTGAGAGAGAAAGGGGGAAAGAAGGAAGGAAATGAGGGAGAGAGGGAGAGAGAGATACCAACATGTGGCTCTGGAGTAGACACTCGGAAACTCCATTACTGACTTGTGTTAACATTCTTTCTTCTCAAAAATCAAGTCATGAGTTCTCTCACTGATGAGGCAGGTGATCCTCAAGTTGACAAGCAAGTTAATAAACCTCAAAGGCTGCTTTGATCAGAAAGGGAGAGTGTGTGGTTGATAAAGCAAGCCAGTGCAGGCATAGCAAGGCAAGGGCCATGGAGTGCCTACAAGAAAGCACGCCCCTCAGAGGGCTTGTGCATGCTTCTCTGTGTTCAACTACCTGTTAGTCAGAGTTCAACACAAGAACCCATCCCCTCATGGCTATAATGATGACTCAAAATCTACCCTGTATACCTAAAGAGGTAAGCACTTGAAATCTAGGAACATATATATCTATGAAATTGTCATGACAGCTTGTCCTTTTCATTAGGAAAGTGGAAAGACGTTATGCTTAGTTTCACAATGATTCACTCATGTATAATCTTGGATCTATCTGTTTACCTGCTGTCTCTAAAGTGAAAATAATATGTAATCCTACACATCTCTCAAATTTTTTGAGGAATTATCAAGAAATGTAAGAGTTATAATAACAACCTGGAAAATACATGCATCTGTGTGTGTAATACAAATATCTTCATTGAAGGAAAAGGTCTTTGACCAATAAAAGTCCCCTACCAATTTATACATTAATATAAACTACATTTGAAGTAAAAATAAAAAAGCTACATTTGGATGCAATCACAAAAAATGTCCATAGCTTCACTATTTCACTAATGAAAAGGTACAGATGCTGCATACAGAAGGATTTTATGATGTCCATATGTTTCTCAAATGACTCTCCTTGTCAGCTAATTCTCCATATCTCTATTGAAGAATAACCTGCACATTCCTCTCTGAGAGAGTGTGAAGTATAATACTGTACTGTTTAAACAACTCAAGAAAGTCATCCTAATAAAAAAGAAATGAAGATTATGCAAACAATATACACTTAGTGAACATAATAAAAATGAATTGTGGCTATCATTTAAAATAGTTAAGAAGATTTTTGCCTGGTAGTTAGCCTTAAGATTTAAGGGTCTTTAAACATTCAGATAAAAGTTATTCTATAACATATATATATGCATATATATTAACTATGCATAATGATAGTGACTTCATTAAGAAAGCCAATATGGTAACAGTTTGGTCACAAACATTCATAAAATCTGTAACCATGTGAAAATTACCTTTTAGCTTCAGAAGCATTATCATCATTTTTACAGAATTTGGTATTTTAATATGCCAAATAGTCTCAGGTCACTGTTATTCTGGCTTTCCAATAAAGGCCAGCTCTGTGGTCTGAATTGCAATGGGGGAGGAACAGGAAAAAAGGAAGAAGAAGAAAGAAGGAAGAAGGAAGAAGGAAGAAGGAAGAAGGAGAAGGAGAAGGAGAAGGAGAAGAAGAAGAATTCTCCTATCTATAAACTGGCACTTCATTTAAAACTCTTAACTTCCTCCTGCCCAGCCTTCCGCCCACTCTGTAGTGAAGACTGTGAATTCAGAAACAAAGCAGGGACCACAGCTCTCTTTCTCTAACTGGCAGCCTACCAAAGGTCAGGCTCAGGATCCCCGCTGTACTTGCACCTGTTTGGTACCTAACACATCTGAAGGCATTGGCTTTGTCCCACATGTGCATGTTAACGGTAAATACTGCTCATCTTGAGATTGGCCCCATTCAAACAACATAAAGGAGAAAAAAATTATAAGCAAGTTTTAAAGCTAACTTATTTGCTCTTTTCCAAAATACAATATTGTTCTTAAGCATTTTAAATATGAATGGTTTCCAGAAGGCACACTAGTGATTTGATGTTTGAATAATTAAATTGGTCCAAACTGGAACAGTGGTTTAAAAGGATAAAGAAGACTAATTACTCTTTAAAAGGCAAATATAATAAACAACAAATTTTCAGTCACATTCATTTCCATAATAAACATCCAAAGTACCAAATAGTTCAAAAGGTATCTTTTCCAAACATGATTTTTAAATTGTCCTCATTTATTAACTGCAACTTATTTGTGCTGTTACTAATTACAGAATTTTTTTTGAATTATGGGGCATCATAAAATAACATCCAAACCTTTCCAAATGTCAAAAGGTTTTCTTTCCAAAGACTTCAGGTTGTTTTTTTTCTTTTATGTGGATTCTCTCTAAACTTACTACTCCCTTTTCCTAGATTTCAACAATTCCTACAAGATTTGGAAACATGATTATGCTCTGAAGACTTGTAATTCCTAAACGTTATTCTTTTTAAGAGATCTCGACACACAAGAGTATTCAGCTGCATAAGCATTATACCATTTGGAGGAGGGAGCAATTAACTCTTCGCTTTCTTATAAGTTAAACTTGTTATGCCCTTTACCTCCCTTCCATAATATTCCTATGCAATGGGATATGTGCATGCATCGGTATCCCGTTACTAACATTTTAAAATGCTATAGTTTATCTAAAAGTTCCTCTTAGGAATACACACACATCTTTCCTGACGAGCAAAAAACAAAAAAAAAAAAAAACGCGACAGAAATAAAACCTTCTGAAATGAGAGCATAGGAAACTCACGAGAGGCATCACATGTATAGATAGCATTCTGAACTCAAGCCCAAAGCCAGCGCCTTGGAGCTGCAGGGCAGCTCGGCCCAACTCTGTCTCACACAGACAGAGGCCTCTGGATACCAGCACCTCTCACTGCTGACAAGGAGGCGACATTCTCAAAGCCAAGGTACCCACTAGGTGATCCCGGAACAGAGAACGCTCCCCTAGTCCTAGCTCCCTCTGGTCTCCTCTGTGACACCCCTGGGTGGGGTTTAATTAACCAATTTACCTTAATAAGTTTAAACATTCATCACTCCTCCTCTGGCCTCAGCACAGCTTCATCTCCCATTCTCCAGCACCCTAAACTTTTCTTAAAACCCAGTATTCTGCTCTCTTGACTTTGAAGTGCCCCACCAAACATCAAAGGTAACCCCACTAAGTATTTCTCCCCTCAAGCAACATGTTGGCAGTACAAACTTTTCATTCATAGCTCGGATGCGACAGGAACCGGGTGTTTGGGGGGGTCGGAGGAAAATCCGGCCAGCAACCCCCGGCCTCGGCTTGCCTGGCCAAATGTCAGGGTCTTCACCAAAAAGACAGCCCAGCACCCAACTTCTCACAATGGTACCCACCAAGCTCCGGGCTGTGAGATGCAAGGCAAGTGGCACTAAGTCCGGACCGAGATGCAGCTAACCTGGGGAACCCAAACAGGGAATACCGCGGCGCATCAGGAGCAGCCTGGCCCCAATTCCCAGGGCTTTGCCCGAGCAGCACGGAGCCCGGCTGCGGGGCCACTCACCTCCGCCCGCTCCTGCAAGGCTGTCGCGCCCTCCTCCGCCCCGCGCCGCGACCCCCTAACTTCGCCCCCTTCTCCAAACAGCCATCTTCCGAAGCGCAGGCGAGAATGGCGAGACAGGAAGCGGCCCGGGGATGGAAAGTTGGCGGCGGGAGCGCGGCGGACTGCGGACGGCGAGGGCGGCGGGCGGTCGGGGCTGCGCGCTGTGCGGGACGCGCCGCCGGGGGAG